TGTAAATTCATGTATATATACATACGTATACATACATACATAATCCTGTTCTAGGTAAGTACACACCACTGTCTCTCACACTAAATGCAGCTAAAAATTCTGGATAAAATTCAGCCATTCAAGATTCTGAAAAGTAAACGATAACGGGTTGTTTGGGGAAGAAGAACACTATTAAAAGTATCTCTAAATCTGTGGAAAACACTATTATTTTTATCTACCATCCACTGGGCTGAAGTAGAAATTATAAAAACATTAGCAGAATAAATCCAAAGCAAGCTGATGAAATTAATATATATGTGTGAAATATATAGTAATATATTTATAAGAGCATACGTCAATACATTTGAAAACAGATAACCATACAGAAATTAATAAAATCAGAATCTTGTTCTTTGAATGAACCAATAGATTTCTAAATCTCTATCAACACTAAAAGATTAAAAAAGAGAAGAATAAACGTTAAATAATAGGAATAAAAGAGGATACATCATTACAGACTCTGCAAATATAAAAAAAGAGGATAAAAGAATACTATGAACAACTTTTCCTGCATATATTTTATAATTTAGAAAAAATTTGGCAACTTAGATAAACTGGATCAATTCTTCAAAAAGTATGAACTTTCCAAACTCATTCAACATGAAGTAGATAATATGAATAATCCTGTAACTAGTAAATAAATTATATTTGTAGTTTAAAACTTTCTGAAAAAGAAATATACAGATAGTGCCAGTGGTAAATTTTATTGAACATTTAAAGAAAAATCATCATCAATTCTACATAGTATTTTTCAGAAAATATAAGAAGAGGGAATGCATTGTAACTTTTTCGTAATTCCAACATTATCCTTACTACAAAACCAAGTAAACAGTATAAGACAATAAAACTTTAGTCAAAAGCCCTCATGCAAATATTTTCTGCAAAATACTAGATGATAATTCATATATATTAAGTAAAATTTATCTCAGGAGCATAGGATTGGTTTAATACTTTTAAAATAGCTTAATTCACCATGTTAAGAGATTAAAGAAGAAAATCCACATGATCATATCAATTGATACAGAAAAATGTTAAGCCTAATTTAACATTCATTCCTGATTTTTAAAAAAATTCTTAGCAAATGAGGAACAAAATGGAACTGCTTCTTGCTGATAAAGGGCATCTAAAAAACAGTGTATCTAACATTGTAATCATAGTAAAGATTCAATACTTCCCTTTCCTTCAGTTAAAAAAAAGTCAATTTAATCAATTCAGTTCAGCATCATATTGAAAGTCCTTGCCAGTGCAATAAGGCAAGAAAAAGAAATAGGTTATACAGATTAGAAAAGAAAAGGTAAAATTGTTCTCATTCACAGAAGGCATTATTGTCTACATAGAAGATTCTCCCTAATTAAAAAAAAAAAAACAACTCTAGATAAATAAGTGATTCCATAGATAGGATACAAAGTCAACAAAAACAAATTGTATTTTTATATATTAGGATTGGACAATTAGAGACTAACTATATAAACATACAGTTTACAATAACTCCAAAATACAAAATACTTAGGTATAGCTCTAACAGAATCTGTGAAAGACCTGTATAGTAAAAATTGTGAAACATTGATAAAAGAAAGCATAGCAGAGAAAAATACTACATTCATGATTTAGGAGACTCAGTATATTAAACCTGTCAGCTCTTCTCAATTTAGTCTATAGATTTAATGAAATTTCTATAAAAATCCTAGCAGTTATTTTTAGAGGTATGAACAAGGTGATGCTAACTTTATATGAAAATACACATAATTTAGTATCGCCAAACAATTCTGAAAGGGAGCATAAAGTTGAAGAAATCAGTCTATCATTTCAAGATTTATTATATAGCTACAGTAATCAAGACACTGTGGTATTGACAGAATGGGGTGGAATACATAAAAATCAATGGAATAGAATCAATGGAATAGAATACTCAAGGAAAGGATCTACATACACATGTTTAATTTGTTTTTAACAATGGCGCAAAGCCAATTTGATGGAAAAGGATGAATTTTCCAACAAGTTGCATAAAAATTGGGCAGACATGTGAAGAAAAAAAATCCTGATATAAACTTTGCATCTTTACCAATCTTTTATCAAAATAGGTCATGTCTAAATATGAATTGCAAAACTACTGGAATTTTGGAAGAAAACATAGTAGGAAATATTAATTACCTTGGGTTAGGCAAAAAAATTCTTAAACATGACACCAATAAAACAGTCTTTAAAATGATTTATTGGCTTTCACGAAGATTAGAAATGTGTTCTCTTCAAAAGGCACTCTTAAGGAAGTTTTTTAAAAAATCATCTGTAGACTGGAGAAAATATCCAGCAAGGCCTGTATCAAATATAAATAAAGCTCTTTCAAAATTTTACCTGATGGAAACAAACAGCCCAACTTAAAAATGGGCAACTTTCTTGAACCGATATTTTACCAAAAAGGTCAGATAATCACAAGAAAATATGATCGACATAACTTACCATTAGGAAAATGCTAATTAAAAGCACAATCGGTGGAGGGGGTGTAGAGTAACTGGAACTCTCATATATTTCTGGTGGAAATGTAGTGTGGGACAGCTATGCTGAAAAACAATTTTGTAGCTTCTTATAAACATTTATTTACCATGTAACCTAGTGATCCAATGCCCTAAAGAAGAGAAAATGTGTTGAGACAGAATATACACATGAATGCTTATAGTAGCTCTGTGTGTCAAAACTGAAAACAACCCAAATATATTTAAACAGATAAACATATTGGCATATATCTATATTATGGAATACTATTGAGCATTAAAAAGACATGGGCACACAAGTTAGATAAATCTCAGTCATTAGACTAAGTGAAAAAAGTTAGTCCCAAAAGGTAAAATTCTGTATGATTTCCTTTAGATGACATTTTCAAAAAGATTAATTATAGTGATAGAAAGTTGATCAATGTTTGACAGGGTTTGGTGATGGGGAAGGTTGTTACTATGTAGAGATAGCACAATTGAGTTTTGTGGTGATGCAACAGTTCCTCATCCTGCTTTCAGTAGTGGTTGCATGATCCACTCACATGTTACAATTCATAGAACTGTACACCAAAAATCAATTTTCCTGATATTTTAACATTGGCAATAAAATAACATTTAAAGATTATGAATTATCTTTCTGAGAATTGTTTTTGATATATAAATCTACTATGTTAGATATTCTAGCTTTAAGCTCTGGATCATGAATGAACATTGGAAAGAGTCTTTAATGGGTGTTCTTGTTGTATTGAGACCTTAGTTTTAGAAGTGGTACAATGGCCTCATGAAATTAATTGAGTTTACATTCATCATTTCTTCTTTGTTGATAAATTACATTGTAGCTACCATATATCATCCCTTTGTGAAGTATAATTTTTTTGACGCCTACTAGTTTTGTGCTTTCTAGATCCCCAGATGGCTCACAGTAGCTTGTATGATGATTAAAATATGATGGAAGTGATGGTGTATTACTTCCAAGGCTAGGTCATAAAGATGTTGGAGTTTCCATCTTTGTCTGGTTGTTTTGGATTTCTTACTTTTCCAAGCAGTGTCTTGCAGAAAAGCCAACTAAGTAGCACCCATTCATCATCCACACTGTACATATGAAATCTATGTGAATAAGATGCTATTGGAACTGGATCTTCCTATCCAGTTCAATATTCCTATTCGAGTCATCAAATGACAATAGACGCAGCCAATATTTTATTGCAACCTCCTGAGAAATCAGGAGCTAAAACTGCGCTACAAATATGGTCCCAAATTCCTGACTTAAAAAAAAAAAGCATAAGATAGATTAAATGATTATTATTGTTTTAAGCCACTAAGTTTGAGGTGTTGCAATGCAAAAGGCATAAACACAGGACTGATAATATTGAGGTCCCATGATATGTACATTGGTAAGGGATGTGTGAGAAAATTAAGGCAAACTGATACTAAGAAGATGTCGCTAGTATGAATGCATTGTAGATCTCTATCAGGATGAAAAATTGCTGGAGTGGGAGGTGGTAGACAGAGAGTAAGATGCTTGAAGTAGTTTTCAACAGTAGTGGTTATATGAGAGTTGACAAACCAAGGGTGTGTTCATAAGAATCTATGACTAAATTGGAGCAAAGAAACAGATCACTGGTATCATGGAGACAAAGAAAGTGGAAGGCCAATATATTTGATGAATCATAGATATCATTGAATCAGTTACTGATCATCATGCCTAAAGTGGTTATTTTTTTTACTGTTCATTCGTCTGTTCATGTTTGTTTGTTTAATTAGCTGTTTTTAAATGAGAGCCTTTATTGCACTCAATTAGACAGTCTGATAATGAAACTTGAAGGTGGTCATTATTGACAGGAGAATAATGTTTGGATTACAGATTTTTTTTTTTGAAAGGCTTTTACATGTCAAAATATTCATGCAATTTTAGAGATTCTACTTTGAAATATTTCTTTAGAACCCTGGTCAGGATCACTGAGTAAGAGGTACATTAAAAAAGCAGAAGGTTAATAACAGATTGATGCTATCAAAATAAAATATATTACTAAGTATATGCAAGAGGTAAGTTGTCTATGTATGTTTCAGTTTAGAGGGACCTATGACCATGACCAGGGCTACTAAATTTATTGTAAATGGTTTTCAGGAGCTGAAATAATAACATTAATAACAATGGAAATACTACTAATAGTAATAATAATGAATTTGAAGTTCAAAGAACATGTTCGAAGTCACTGTGAAGATTACTGTGGTCTTCATTTTGTACTGTCTGACAGAAAAACAAATGGATTAGTGACACACAGGCTATAAATCATCTATTACCTGGGTAAACTTTGAAACAAGTCATGTATTTATGTTACTGACATGATAGATCATAGAGTCAACAGGATTTGGTGATTGGTTACACAATTAATGAAATAATTTCAGCAAATTAAAATCTAACCTACATGTGAAAGTATTTTTTGTTTTTTATTTTAAATGTTCAATTAGGTATTCAATTGACAGAAACACAGACTTGGAGAGATACTTCAATATCGATGCCAACAGTGGAGTTATTACAACTGCCAAGTCCTTGGATCGAGAGACAAATGCTGTTCATAATATCACAGTCCTTGCAATGGAGAGTCGTAAGTTGTAAGGTTTAAAACTAAATTAGAATAGAAGACAGTGAGAGTGCAGAACAGGTTGTTATGAGGTTGTAAATTCAATTGGAATTATAATAGTTCCTTATTTAAATAGAACAAAAACTTGAAAATTTCAAGCTTCCAAGCTGTGAAATATACTCACTGGCTTTATATGCTAATATTTATAAAATTAATGAAAACAGATAACTAAAAATTAATGGGCCTGAAATACCTCCAGAGGGTTTATTGCTTTCTGGTCACAATATGTATATTGCATTTATGCTGATGTAGAGTTGGTGACATAGCTTACAATAATTAGTAAATTTATCTCTAACTAAGCCATTCAGATTTGAATATTCTGATATTGAACTAATTTTAGACCCTAAAAGGAAGACTTTTGAAAAAATAATTTATAATGATATGCACATATGCATATTATGTATTAAATATTTTAATATCTACGCATATATAATGCATGTGTTAATAATATAAATGTATATTCAAACAAACATGAACTCTAGCATCAAAGAATATTAAAACATAGCTTACTCTTAATTTATTTTCAACAATATTTTATCCAGAATAAAAAGATACACACATAGGTATATTACATATATACATGTATATATACACAAATATATAACTATACATATGTTTATATGTGTAGTTAGATTATCTATAGCTCCCTTGAAAAAAATACAGCGTTATGATTCTAGATTTAATTCATAGCTTAGTTATTTTATTATTAAAATTGTTTATTAAAATGCTTAAGAGAGGCAAACGTATTTGGTTTTTTCTAATTTTTTAAAATAAGAGTTTCCTGGGTAAAATGGAAACAAAATAACTGCTTTGCTATCAGAGTAGATGATAAGACTTTATCTTGTTTATTAGAGAATCCATCTCAAGTAGGAAGAGGCTATGTGGCCATCACTATACTTGACATTAATGACAACGCCCCTGAATTTGCCATGGACTATGAGACCACGGTTTGTGAAAATGCCCAGTCAGGGCAGGTGAGTCTTCAGAATACTTTGCTTCTAGTTTGTGATTTCTCTAAAAATATCCAGCAGCAGTCGCCTTTGAAATTCTTCCAGCTTTAAGATAAAACATAATCAGCTTGTTTCAGCAAAACTAACACTTTGATGTGTAGCAAGAACTAATATTAAAGGAACTTTCAAATTCTGGTTTAATTAGGGTGATGAAAATTCCTCAGGAAGAAAGGTAAACATTGTAAAAGCCTGTTAAATGGCTCAGGGCTTAGACTCCTTTAAGGAGAAATATAGCATATTAAGCTTGATTGAGCTCTTTCCCACATTACACAGCAAGGTTTAAGTATCTTGAAGCTCCAAGAGTTAAGTACAGTTCAGTCTCAGTTTGGTTTATTCATCCATTGTTTAGTGTCTTCTGATGTGTGCTGGGATGTCTAATCAATTGGTACTGCTTATTTCTGAGGTTCACAAAAGTAAATTCAAACATGAACTTTGAAAAGGACACAATTTGTTTTTCAGAGCCGTTTATTAGATTGGGTTGATATTAATACATCTGATCCTTTTCCCTCAGCTCATTCAGGGAGATGGTATTTATTGTAAGATGTAAACTGTCTTTGTCCTGCCTCAGAAAATGTAGCATACCACACCAATGTGCTTTTGTGTTTTATGTTTTCTACTCCTAGGTGATTCAGAAAATTAGTGCTGTTGATAAAGACGAGCCATCCAATGGACACCAGTTTTACTTCAGCTTAACAACAGATGCAACAAATAACCACAACTTTTCATTGAAAGATAACAAAGGTAAGGTGTTGTTATTGTCACTGGTGGAGGCAGCAGATACAGACTCTCTAAGCAAGTCCTTTTTCTCCCTCGGGAATGCTGATTATGGATTTCTTTAACGAAGGACATTAATTAAAGGGCAATGAGCCCCTCCAGTAATTTTTATCTATGGATTTGCTGTCATGAAGGAGAAGCTGCTATTTAAATCATTTTAGGCCTAAAGCCAAATAGGAAAGTTGGATCTATCTTTCTCATTCTTTTCTTCTAGACACTTGCTTCATTTTTTTGTATACCAGGTTCATCATCCAGATAATCCAATACGTTGAGGGGAAGCTAGATGCCTAATAATTATAATGCTATATAGATACAACTTGAGACAATAGAAAAATAATTGGACATTACACATTTTAACCTAGATCAGCTTTGACTTAATATTTTTAATAATCACATTTATAATTGCTTTATTTTACATAAGCATAAAGGTGATTCATGCAAGTAGTAATAATAAAATAATGATGCATTCATGATGCTAAAAAATCGAAAATAAACAATCACAAAAGCACTTCATCTCATGTCTAATCATGTTTTCCGCTATCAAGGTAAACACTCTATAGTTTTCTAAGTGCTGTCATGGAAACATTTTTACAGAATTCCTATAAGTAGATTCTGGTTTTGCTTAATACTGTATATTGACAATTAGAAAGATTTTTAAATAAAGCATAATAACCTGCTATCTATTGTCTAATTTTGAATTGATATACTAGAATGTGTTTTTATTAGAGATATTTATTTTAGTGAAAGAATATTTGAAACGGATATAAAGGGAGAATAATATTCCTTAACAATATGAACATATAATTATTATTTTTAGGTTATTTATATAAATCTGGTCTCGGGGGAAAAATAGAAATAGATTTGCTAGTCAAGTACTGGCTTATCTGAGAAACTTGATTACTTGAGTTCAAAAGGTAGATGTTATAAGGATTTTTGCCCGAGGCCACCGTTTTCTTTAGTGCATAAATACGAACATTGGCCTCAGAAATTCATTCTGAAAATGGTATTTTTTTCCCCACTCTCATTTCTCCACTTTATGAGAACACTATCTTATTCTCTTTAGTGATGTAAAAAGAAGAGTATTCTTTATGTGGGTAACCCTAGACTCTGACTTCATCATAACTGGAAAGGATGATTCTCAGCACTTGAATTCATCAGTGCAAATGCAGAAAGGGGAGTTATGATCTTCACAAAGAGAATGGGAATATATCCCTCATGTGTCATCATCCTGTACCACCATGATTACTGTACAGCATGTGCACAAAGACATCTGTTTTTACAGGATATCCACATTGTCACACAATTGAAATTTTCTGTGTCAGGTTCAGAGTTCCCTGGACTGTATCTTGGAGGAATACATAAAATAGGAAGGGAGTTCTTATGTTATCTTCCACCTGAGGTAGCAAATATAGAACATTATTAATTTTATGATTTTTTTTCTGAACCCTTCTCACATGTTGGGCATTTCAGCTTGTACTCCACAATTCAGTGTGTGTCTATGTGTGTGTGCGTGTGTGTGTGTGTGTGTGTGTATGTGTGTATTTTGATATCAGTTTAGATTAAAAATTAATAACTTTGTAAAACTTTTTATATCAAAATCATAAATACATATAGCATCTGAGCTGATATATATTAATTTGAAGAATCCCATAAATTACTTAATTATTCAATTAAGACAAGCTAGCTGGAAAAATTGCTAACAGATTTAAAAATATATTTCTGATATAAAAATCACAGTTATGTTATATGGACTTATTGATCACTCATATATTTCCTAATTATTATAATTGTTTAGGTGAAATAGAATATTGAGTATAAATTAAACACAAATGACCCGTTTTATCACTGACAAAATGTTTATATGTATGCAGTAACTGTAAGTATTAATACAGAATTTTTAAAACCTTATAATAATTCCTCTTCTCAATATATGTATACTCAATTTAAATAAAACTCAAGTAGTTTATTTTACTTTTAAAAAATTGGACTTGGAACTTGTCAGAGAAACAGTAGATTAAAAATTTTATCTGTGTATATGATGCTGCTGCAAAAATAGTTAATCTGTTAATTTTTGCTATCCTCAGTGTACGTTCATGGTTTGAAATTTATGATAAGTAAAAGATGTACTATATGCAGCTTTTACAAAGTTCCACTATCCAAATGAACTCAAAGACAATTGTTGGGGGAAAAAAAAGGTCTGTAACTCCAGAGCTTTCCTGAATTAACTGGTAAGAGCAAACACAGTGACTTAAAGTCTGGAAAGACTGATTCCATCTGAAATCTTGTTTTATACATTTGCTTTCTCATATTCTAGACAACACAGCCTCAATACTAACCAGGAGAAATGGCTTCCGGAGACAGGAACAGTCGGTTTACTATCTGCCAATTTTCATTGTGGACAGCGGATCCCCTTCACTTAGTAGCACCAACACCCTCACCATTCGTGTGTGTGACTGTGATGCTGATGGCATAGCCCAGACCTGCAATGCAGAGGCCTATGTCTTACCTGCCGGACTCAGTACAGGAGCCTTGATAGCAATTCTCGCCTGTGTCTTAACATTATTGGGTAGGTACTATTTCCATGGATTACTCTGGAAAAGCCTTCACAACGATAACCACGTATCACAGCTTACCTACTTTCTTCTTGATTTGTTTGTAGTATTGCGCAAATATTTTACTGGATACTGTTTTACTCACTAAGTAACCTAATTGTGGGTCACACTTTCCAGTGGTATATTTGAGTATAATAATCTTTTAGAAAATGTATTGTTAAGTGTATAGGAACATACTCAAGACAATATCCTTCAACCACTTTATGCTTAGTTTTATTGTAAACTATAACAAGAAAAAAATGACATCAATTTCCTTTTCAAAACAACAGTGAGAATAAGTGGTTTATGCTTAAAATGGATATTTTTCAGGTTTTAAAAAAATAAAAACCTTATCCTAGCTCTTTGCTTTAGAATACCATACAGAGAGAACATTTTCTATTTTGTTTTGATAATATGCTTATCTTTAAAATTATGGTTTTATTAATTTTAGGCAAATATTTCAGGTGACTTTCTTGGATTATTTGCAAATTTTTAAATATCGCTACTTTAGCAATGAAAATGTTTTAGTTTCCTAAGAAATCAATATTAACAAATCAATATTAACAAATTTAATTGTATTTCTCAATGACTACTTTATTATTTGTTTCAATTAGATTTATAACTCATAGTAGAATTGTAGTTTTATAAGAGATTATAAAGTATCCTTTTCAAAATTGGGAAACATCCTATGTGGATGCTGGGTAATAGGTTTATTTAACAACAATATTTTCCTTTATGGTGTAACTTTCTATAAAAAGGACAACAAACACTTCATATTTTACCTGAGACTGTACTACATGTTTTGGAAGGTTTAATAGAGTTAGTAAATCCATCTATGACATATTTGTATCAAAGCAGGATTTACAATGGGAGTCAACATTGTATACTGTTCAAAAACAAGATTTGTGGAGCTAGGGAACCAAATTTTACTTCTGCCTTCAATATAGATTGTTTATTTTTCCTGAGGGGAAAAGTTAATCTGTCAATAACTGGTTTATTAATCTAAAATGGAAAAACAACAGAACTAGCCTCATAAGGTTTGTATGAGAATTAAATGAGATAATTCATGTAAAGAACAGTGTCCACCATACAGTAAACTTCCATACATTTTGATGAAGCAAAAATTCTAAGCTAAGAACTAGTTACTAATAGATTGTAAATGGGCTCATTAAATGGAAGTTATTATCTTCAATAACTTTAGTTAGCCAAGTAAATCTAGAAGCAACTAATGAAACTACATATTTCCATAGAACTTTTCATAGATGCATAAACTTTCAGAAATTCATTAGATATTGCAAGCAACTCCCAATTAAAGTCTAATTAGACTATAAGGGATTAAAGTAAAGTTTGAAGAAGGTAGTACTACTGCAAACTACTTATTGTTCTCCTGCGTTTCAAAACATACCGATAGAGATGTAAATTGTATCTTTATTTTATAGTAACAATAATTTATGTAAGAATATACAAAATTATTTTATATTTAAAATGTCCTTAGCTTGAAAACAGAGAGTCATCAAAATAATGAGAGGATAGGTAGAGGGTGTATAGAAGACTTTAAGCTTAACTCGATCAGTTTATTAAAAACAACTTAGATTATAATCCACTACAAACGTATAAGATACAATTGAATTTCCAAATTTTAATTATGCTTAATAGTGAATTGACCTTCGATTTTTGATAGGCTATCTGCCTGATGAATCTCATTTCCCTTTTAATAAATACTTTCACCTTTGACTTTGGGGTTTCTTGCAATTTAGGTTGCTTGATGATTCTAATTAGTTAAGACACATCAGCTAGTTATTGCTGAAAGTAGCTGGATCAGAGTTTTCTTATATTTTATCCTTGGTTATACTATTTATAAGCATGTGTGTGAGTGTGCATATGCTCATAAAATTTAGAGATATTTTTGTCAAAATTTAGGAAGATATGATTCTTTTTTTTTGTTAAATTTGAACGTATTGCTTGAGTAGACACCAAATTTGAAATGCTTCTCCCACTTCTAAGGATCAGGTTCTTATGTCCTATATTTTATTCTTTTAAAAATAAAGTTTCTGCAAGTGTCCAAAAATATAAGGTAAAAGAGAGTTATTGCACTGAAATACAGTTTCTAATCAGAGGCTTCTGTCTGCAGTTTTCATTCTTTAGTGACTGCACAATAATCAGTAACTTCAAATGCTAGCATTTTAGCTCAGAAATATGATCTCTTTGTGTCTTATTTCCTAAGTCTTTAGATGCAGATAATCAGAAATTTTTCATACTCTTTTGGTCCTGTTGCCACTATTATAGACTCTGGGTTTTCACACAATAGGTGCTGAAGCCAATGATATTGAGTATTCACAGGGGGTGCGGATGGAATACACAGGCTGACATGGAACTTGATTTCTAGTGCACAAATGACTCATTCTTTACAACACATCAGAAAGTAGTGTGAATCTTGTTTCTAGACACTAGGTATTGGGATTTGTAACTCAAACCTTTTCAGACTTCTGAACAAATATTGCTGGCAATAAACAAGGTGAGGAGGTGGGAATGGGAAAGGAGAACTTGAGAATCAAGTTCAATTAAGAATGAAACAATAGAAACACCTGGGTTTAGATGCTTTATGTTTGTTTGTTTAAAGCGTATTCACTACATGTTAAGTTTGTGTTCAAGTGTTATGACAAATTAAAGTTCCTTGTAACACAACAGAGGGAAATACACTGAAGTTCCCAGAAGTTTAATGCCAGCAGGCATCACAGCAATCTATTTTAGCCTAAACTTCTTCAATTTACAGAGGGGAAAATTGAGGTACAGGTAAGTTCAAGAACTTGCAGGAGTTCATATAGCAAGTTCAAGGATAGGATGGTATAATCAATGTCTCCTTATTATCAATCACTGTTTAGGGATTAAATTAAAATGGAAATATATTTTTAAAATATAAAAATGGTTGCTCCCATATAATCATGAAATTCATGTTATTGTGTTTCATGTTTGAAATTCAAGATATCTGTTACTGAATTTGGCAGTCTTCTGTATCTGCATTCTTCTAACTTATGGGTGAACGGCTTTCTGAATTCTCTCTCATACTTGTTCTTGCCTTCACATCTCTTTCATTTATTTGCGCCTGAATTCTCTAGAAGAAAGAGATGATTCAGTGATTAGCACATGGGGTTTCTTTATTTACACTGACTACAACTTGATTGGGATGTATTATTACCATACTCAAATTTCATGATAAAATAATCAGGTTCCTTAATTACTTTTCATGCAGAAAAAGTTTGTCAATATATGGCAAGATGCTCTAGCAGTCTAAAGCATGAGTAAAAATTGCAATGCATCAGTAATACCAATACTAATTTAATTATGCATTTTTATCATTGTTAAATTCATTTTTGTTGATTTATACAGTTATTTCCCACAGGCTTTATCACTCTATAAAGACAAAAATTGTATGAATAACTGACACATCAAATTGTTTTTCAGTGAATGTTTCAAAAATAAAGACCAAGGATTTCTGCTGTTTTGTTCTAAAATATGGCTTTAATATTAAATATTGCACATGAATTCTGAAAATATTACAGCTATATTCTTTCCTTTCTTTTATACAAAGAACCTGTTTCTTGCACACTAGAGCTGCCAATGAATTTAATATATTAAGTTTGGGATTTTTGTACTTGGACTTTGAGGTTCAAGTAATTGAAGTCCTGTGGCATTCCTTCCAGCTCTTTGCTCTTTCTGACACAACTGGGATTAGTTAGACTGACCCAGCTTCATAAACTCAGGTTTAATAAGGTGTTTGTAGAAACTCACTGTTCACTTCATGGGATTCAAGCTTTTCCAGTGTGTCTGGGATGGCCAGCTTGACGTTTAGCTGTCATGCATCTTTTCACTTTTCTTCCCTGGTTTACCAAGTACTAAACTATATTTGGCCTCCTGTTACTATGACTGCTCATGATTTTGTTCAACAGGAAAACGCTTTCCTAATTTTGTAAGCAATTGTAAGCATTAGTGAAGTAAAAGATATATTAAATTACTGAGAAAAAAATGATAACACTTTGTGAAAAATGGATCCCCATCATAATCTATAATGATAGAATGTAGTTGGCATAACAGACCTGGAGATAATAATGGGCAGACTGTGGCTGGCTACTTTATGATAGTAAATGTGTTCCTCTTTCAAACAAGCATAAGTATAATAAAAAATGAACCACGTTGTATAAGTTCATACTATGTGCTAGACATTAGCCTAATTGCTTTCCAAGTATTATCTAATTTAATGCTCAGAACAAATTTCCTAGGCAAGAATTATTATTATACCCATTTTTATCTTAAAAACAAAAACAACAACTTAGAGGAAATATGCATAAAGTTTAGGGTGAAGGAATGTCAGAGTCAGGACCCAAACACAGGCAAGACTGAAATCTGGATGTTTTTTATAAGGTATTTTTCCATAAGTGTTTTATAAGATGAAAGACCCTGGTGTTTCTGAAGAACATCTATAGACCTGAGAGTATGACAGCCTGGGGACTGACAAGATAGAGGCAGCAGTACTTTTGCTCTGTTTTACATAGTGGCAATATATATATATATTCTTACTGCCTAATTTGTAGTATCTTCCAATTACTTCCAAATGTAAAAGAACACATTAGAATTGTGTATGTTAAATGTAAACTTATATATCAGTATAACCAAAAAATAATACACAAATTATCTTTACCCATAAAACACTCTTTGCACCTTGGAAAAATTATCCCTACCTTAACTAAGACGAAAGTGAACTCGTTCTCACTCTCATATTTAAAGGAAAAGGACTTTGTGCTACTTGTTTGGGGGAGAGAAATGATTTATTTTAGTTGTAGTTAAACTTTTCCTCTCTTGAGACATGGAAATAATTATCTTATTTAAGCATATAATTTTCAAATCTTTGGTTCAGATCTTTTATAACAAGTCTAACTATGCATGTTCCTTGTTCTGTTAGAGAGCTGAAACTAGAAGTCTCAGTAGGAATATCTAATCCCCAACAACTTTTCTCCACTTCTGTCTCTCTTCCTGATTTAATCCCTATTTATTTATATGCTTTTCTGAGTGGAATCAGGCAGCCTTCCTTCTTCTTTGTTTCATCCCCAGTAGTCAAGTAGTACCCAAGTACTGTTATTTTTACTTTGTTGGGTCTTGAATCAATTTGTTTCTTTCCTTTGTTGTTGTTCCTGATTTTGCCCAGGGTCTATTTTTGCCTCCTGAATTGTGGCAAGTGTCCCGTTTTCAGTCAGAGTCAATTCATCAGTACTGCAGAGTAAGCTTTCTAAAAGCAAATGGAAGTTTGACACACCCCAGCTGAAAATCGTATTCCCATGACTCCCCACTGTCTACAGACTAAAATTACAGGAACTCCATGACTAGACCACTAACTCCTAGTTTAAACTTATTTCTCTATTCATGTGGCATTTTTAAAACAAATTGCATGAATTTCTTTTTCTCAGACTCATTCTGTCTTGTCTCATGTTTTCTAACCTCCCTTGCTCCTCCTGCCTGAGTTCTCTCTTCCCAGAATTCACAAGTGGCTCTTTTTTTTATTTTTATTTTTTGTATTCAAGACTCACATTCTTATCTTCTGATTCCGGAGTGGGGCTTCTCTGAAGTCTCTGTGACACCGTGTGTTTACCAGTCTTAGAGCAGCCATCATGGCTGACTTGTCTGCTGTATTAGTTTGTCTCCTCCAGTAGATGTCTGCTTTTGGAGGCAGAGATGGAGTATTATTTTCTCATAAAATACTGATCTGACATATACAAGGCATTCCATACATGCATGCCGAATGAAGCATAAATGATTTGTATATATTCATTTGTGGAACTAATACTTGACTTGATTATTGTTATTATCCACAGGAGTATCTCTATGGGAACCTGATGTTTCCATTTTCCAAGATTCTACATTTGTAGGTCACTTTTCTGAGATTTGGTCTGTCTCTTTAATTTTTTCAGGAAAATTGATATGGCAGAGGTTAAAAGTATTTAAATTATATTTTCATGTTAATAGCCATGGAACTATTTAAGGACTCAAGGAAAAAAAATCAAAATGTATGTTTGAGGGTAGATAGAGAAAATATTACAGTAAAGATGTCAAAAATACTCTGTTATCAGTTTAAAATTCGATTAAGATGTTATGGTTGATATTTAATTTATCTCAGTCACTCACTTGGATTATATCAATTATAAATTTTTATTTATCATTTGTACAAATAAGTAATAGAGTAGTTCCGTAAGCGCAAGTTAAAATTTTGGCCTTTTGTTACTAGGGATCTGCATGTGTCTCTGATTCTGTAGCACATATATCTAGACAAAATGACAAGCTGATTTCTACTTATTCTTCACATCTCTGCTTAAATGTCACTTTTGATGACAATCTTTTCTGATCACAACCTGACTGTGCTGGTACGACTCTATTTTTCCATCATTTTACTTTTTAAAACATAAATTATTTTACTTCTTTGTTGGAAACATTTCAGAAGCATCGGATGTACTTACATTAAATTCGAATGTTTCTCGCGGATCAAAAAGCAAAGCGTGTTCTGCCCCCTGCTCACCTCTCTAAGGTATCAGACTGTCTGATACTTCATTTACCCAGGAGGAAGAGCCACAGTGCCTTTCTTCCTATTATTTTTAAAAGTTCTACCCTTTTCCTGAAACATTCTCCCTGCGTCCCTTGCCTGTCAGGCTTAGATTATCTTTTATACCCCAGTTTCAGTGTTATCTCCTTGAGAGGACTATCCTCACCACCATGTTTAAGTTAGGCACCCTTTGCTTCAATTATTCTCCAACGTCATATTTATTTCTATTGTGGTACTTTTCACAATTTGTCAACATATATGTTTGCTTTCCTCAAATATAAAGCACTCTGGGAATTGTGATTTTTATCTCATTTTCTCCCCTCTTTATAACCAATATTTTTTGGGTCTGTCATAGGCACATATAGACCAAATGTATTTAATTAGTTCATGCATATTACTTATTGTAGCCTACTGTAAATTTTACAACCTTTCCCACATACTTTAATCTCCTCAAAAATAAGCCCAATATATCTATTATTCATTATTCTACCATCCTATAGATAGAATGGAGTAGCTATCAAATAAAAGAATTCGTAGGAGGTCATCATAATCTCAAGTGAGTACATGGTAAAATTTACACTTCTCTCTGCACCAGTTACATGAGTCACATTTCGGTAAGACCCAAAAGAGTTGGAATTGAAATATATAAGACTTTACTGTAGACGTTCACATTGTATTACTGAACAAAGACAGATAGTACTTATGTGTAGCACCATTTAAGCACTTTACAAATAATAACTCACTTTTATAAAATTGTTATGAGATGGTTTCTAAGAGGTAAATACTATTATTATTTTCATTTTGGAGAGTAGGAAACCGAGGCAAAGGGAGGCAAAATATTTTGCCTAAGTCCACATGTCCAGGAAATGGAATTACAGGAATTCCAAGAAAATGAGGGTCTTACATAGGCAGGAGTGGTGCTTTTAGGGAAGGGATTTGGGACACCTCTCCTGGGTTACAATGTATAAGAATTGGTTGGTTGGAATATAGGATGAACAAGAGTTAAAGTTGAAGAGGAAATGAAGAACTTGGAGTTAAAGATAACTTGGGAATTTCTGATTTGGGTATACCCTTCCTTGAACAAAGAGCACAAGATATGAAACAAATCAGAGGAAAGATAACTATTATAAACCTACACAGCTTGAATGTTATATTAGAATCATCTGGACAGAAAGTTGTATTACTAAAAGAAGTGGTAGTAGCAAATAATACAAATGATAATAATTACCATTTATGAACATTTATTATATTCTGCCAAGTTTATATTTTCTATTATCAAAAATATAAGTAGTCATTAAACATTTGGTCTGTATTATCCAGGTATGGTGGTGCACTCCTATAGTCCCAACTACTCAAGAGGCTGAGGCAGAAGGATCTCCTGAGCACAAGGGATCAAGACTGCAGTGAACCATGATCATGTCACTGCACTCCAGCCAGGGCAACAAAGGGAGACCCTGATTCATAAACAAACAGACAAATAAATAAAACTTATAAAAAGGAGATGTCAGGGACATCAGTGTTTGCCATACAGAGACAGTTGAATCATGGGTTTCACCAGGCTCACCTGGACGAATATGGGGTGAAAAAGAAAGAAGCCAAATACAGAACTTGAGGAAGATTCCTTACGAGTACTTCTTAGAAAAGAGCAACTACAAACAATGATTTCAAAGAGGGCAAAACTTTTTTCTTTTAAACTGGCTGTAACAAACCCCATTGTATTTTGTTGAATAAGTTCAGGACAGCGACCTACATAGAGTTTCCTGTGAAGTTCTGTGTCAAATAGGACAAACATGCCATGTAATCAAAGGACCCAAAAGTGCTCATTGCATGTTGAAATGTGAAGATCATTGGCAATCTTAGTCTTGGGTGGGGTGGGGGGAAGCCCATCAAGCCCTATTTTGAAAATTTCATGAGAGTGTTGTTCCCTGAACAATAATCTATTTGATAGATATTTTGGGCTTATTAAAGCTTGTTAAATACTGAAGTTGATGTCACAAAAATTGTTTAAATATATTTTATTTGTAAACACATAAAGATAATTCATTATTTGTATATTTTTAATTACAAAATTTAGGAACACCTTTTTTACTTCATTGTAAATTAATTCAAGGTGCCATGAAATTGAATGTGTTCCTAGTTCAGAGAGCACTTAGTCACTCAGAAGCTAGAGCAGTCTTCTTATTAGTATATACTTGTGAAAAATATACAGAATTATTATTTGTTTAGATCAAAAACAGCCACTGGAGTAGTTGTCCTTTACTGTCCAGTGCAACTCCACACTTTAAGATTAATTATTAGTTTTGATATAGGAAAATAAATTCCTAAGATTAAAGGGTGACATTTCTTAAATCTATCATTGGCTGATGCTGAAAACCTCACCACCTGTATTCTGTCTCTAGGTATAATGGATAAAGACCAAGTTCAGTATTTTATACATGAAAGTGGGACTCAATTTCTTATAGAGAAGCTTTTAATCTTTGCAAATGGCCTGACATGCTAGATTTTATTTAACGGTGGAGTTTCATAGACAAAGACTAGGCATTTCTTCAAAGAACCTGACCGAATGCTGTAATCCATTTCCTTCTGAAATTGCAGTTGTTAAATTAGACACAAAACATTTATGAACATCACTTCGCCTTTTCAGCAATTAAGGAGTTCAAAAAATCCCTTTGTGTACCCTGGCTTTGAAATTATTATATTTATTCTGAACTGGAACTTCAATTTGTTCTATCCAGTGCTTTGGAAGTTACGTTAAAGAGGAAGACATCAATTCCGAACAGGTGTGGAAAAGGGTTCCTTGATGTATAAAAGTGTTCTATTTTAAAGCCATTTTAGCAATTTTAGCACATCTGCTGCTGTGAATTCTCATGTAAGTCGGTGACCAATTCATTTCTTTTTAAAGGGGAGACACTCTGTAAGTCAACATCACAGGCCTAATTTCACCATGATGAGGGTCAGTTGCTGAGTTAACTGAAACTTTTCCTTTGTTGTCTTCTTATTTCAGTATTGATCCTCCTTATCGTCACGATGAGAAGACGGAAAAAAGAGCCCCTCATTTTTGACGAAGAGAGAGATATCAGAGAAAATATTGTTAGATATGATGACGAGGGCGGGGGAGAGGAAGACACAGAAGCTTTTGACATGGCTGCACTGAGAAACCTTAATGTCATGCGAGATACCAAGACCCGGAGGGATGTGACTCCAGAAATTCAGTTCTTGAGTCGACCGACTTTTAAAAGCATCCCAGATAATGTCATTTTTAGGGAATTTATCTGGGAAAGACTGAAAGAAGCTGATGTCGATCCTGGTGCCCCCCCTTATGATTCTTTGCAGACATATGCATTTGAAGGAAATGGCTCAGTTGCCGAATCACTCAGCTCTTTAGATTCCATCAGCTCAAACTCTGACCAGAATTATGACTACCTGAGTGACTGGGGACCTCGTTTTAAACGACTTGCAGACATGTATGGGACTGGCCAAGAGAGTTTATACTCATAGCCTTGGAACCTTAATTTGAAAGGTACTTATGAAAAAATAACAGCAAAAAAACACTACACACCGAAAGCAAGAACTCCACTTGCTGGAGATAAATGGTTGTAAATATTTCTTCATTTTTAATTGTTTAGGTTTCTGCCTTGGTGAAGCATATCTTCGTTAAACATTGGAATAAAATATCCAAGGGGCTGCACTAACCACAGACTCTGAGCATTTGAAGTTGTTTTGATAAAAAGAAATGCCCAGTGGTTTGTGAATAGATAGCAACTCTCATATACCTGCAAAGGCACCTAACCTCTATGACTAAGTATTGTCCTATATAGTCAATGAGGCAAAGACGTCCTGGGCTTACCTTCATGGTATTGTCAGTGAGAGCAATAGAATATGATGTGCTATTAGAAAATCCTGGAACTTCTTATGTATCAAAACTTGGGACAAATTTAATTTAGAGTGATGCTTTTAGCTTGCTATATTATAGAATCCAGCAGAATTTTATTGCTGTTGGTTAGCAAAAATAATTTATTTAACAATATATAAATCCTCAGAAAATCTTCCCCAAATGAAAACCCTTCAATAAAAGCTAGTAAAATTTGGTTTAAGGCAACATAAACCATTGTTAATCCAATAAATTATGAAGTATTCCAAATAAGAAAAAAGTAAATAATTCGTAAAGTATGCAATAGTTTTGAGATGCTTGCGTAGGTATGATAAAAGTTGCTGTCTATTCATTGGTTTTTATTATCTCTTCTGATTTGTACAGGAGAATATCTTTCTTTTTTTATTTGACACATAGTGTTATATTTATTTTGGAACTCCAATCTCTGCTAAATTCAGGTCCATCTTGCTGCCTCAGTATTAAACTCATCAGAACATGCTGATTTTTCTCCAGTCTCAGCTACATGAAGGAAATGAAGCATGGAAATGGAGAAATAATGGTAAAGCAATTGAGCCCTGTTGCAGTTCACATCTCAAAGAAGAGCGCAGCTACAAGGACATATAAATTGTTTTTCAGAGCCATTAGGATGTCAAAACATTGGAATAAAATATTTGTATTTTAGAAAGACTTCAGAGAAAATGGAAATTTTCTTTGATGCAAGATTTATTTTCCAAGGTCATGAGTTTTACATGCTCCAAAGACTTCCAAGAATCTGTTTCCCAACCTTTTTTTCTGTAAACATATTGAGTAAAAGATTGAATTGTTGGACATCTGAAACAATATAATGTCATAAATTTCAAAACCCATCTTTAAATTTTGATGCAAACATGTCCCTCAAGAATTAACCAAGAGAGATATATTTTCCACATGGTTTAAATGTGCCAAAGTGAAGAGGGCAATTGCAAGTAATCAGATGTGCTTTAGTTTGAGATGAGCTTCTTAGACTCAGTCGTTCATTACCAAAATAATATTTCTACCTATTTTTTTCCTAGATTAATACTAGTCTAATGTGCATAAATTCAGGTAAAAATGGATTTTGTTTTTTCTTTCTTTTTCCTTTTAAAAATAATTCATTGTTGGGTTCTTGATCAATTTGCAGATACTGAACACCGTGTAGAAAATTGTCTTCTAAAAATGCTTCTTTCTGAAAGACAGACACTGGAATTGAAATATTCATAAGTTGATTACAAAAGCAGTCACTATGTAGGATTCTGTAAACTTGCAGTCCAACTTTAGAAATGAAGTATGTAAAAGTGGCCTTCAGCTTCATTGAAATACATAATTCAATATATTTGATTATCTACAAACAGTACTTTAATTTAAATACAGTTTTGTAGACATTGTTTTAAGACTAGATAGATATGCCGCTTGCTGTATTAATATACATATATACAATTTTATAAAACAGTAAAAGATACTGTTCATGAGTTTTAGTCACACATGCAGGTTTAAAAAAATAATAAACATGCTACACTTACCCAGTTCAATAAAATCAGAGTGTGTTGCAGAAATTATACAGATGTTAAATCAGCAAGATGCTTAGAAAATAGTTTGGAATAATCCCTTGTTGCCTGCAAGAGGACAAAATAGTTTACTACATTTGGGTTATGTTGGCAAAACTGCTGATTATTGCACATATCACTAAATGAAGGTGTGTATGTATTTTGGAAAAGAAACATCACATCCCTTGCTTTGCTTTCTTTCCTTTTACAATGTACATATTTTATATTTTATTTAATTTTTATATTTGCCAGTAATAGATTGGAGAAGGAAAGGGTCAAATATAAATAATGATTTAAAATTATTGCATACACTTGATTGTTATTTATGTGTGGAAGAGAAAGTACAGTATTAAACTTGATAATGTGGTATTTTTAAAAATTGCTTTAGATGACTGGAAAAATGTTCCTGATATAGGTCGAATTTATATGAAGTACTTTAAGCTTAATTGCAATGGTAGTGGATTTGTTGTTTATTTTAGTTTTCTTTTTCTTCTGAAATCTAATGTTTATATATGATTATCTGACGTAATGCTTGAGAGATAGGCTTTGTTTTAAAAACAAAGTCTGAAATACTTGATTGCTAAAAATCAGTCTTAAAGCTAGTTGAGAGATTCTACAAACAACATTTAAATAAATATCTATTGTCTAGTTTTTTAAGTTCGGTTTTGCACTGGAACCAACTGGAATCAGCTCCCAAGAACTAATTATTCACAAATATTTCCAATTCCACATATAGGGATAACATTCTGATAGACTGACATCTGCCATGGTGGGAATATTTAGACTGAAGGTATCAGCAAACACTACCCTTTTATTCTGGAGAGCAAATTAAATGTTTACGAGCACTCTAGTTCTTAAGTTATTTTATAAAAGGAAGTCTCATAATTGTAAATATCATATGAATTAATAGAATTACAATAATTTTTTGAAAGGAATTCATACTATTTTTACGACTGAATATAGATGCATGTGGTAGTGATTTCCTGGTATCAAATCCTTGGGGCTATGTGTAGAGGAGAGGATCTATTGCATTATGGAAAGCAAAGGCTTAATTTCAACTAAAGATAATAGTTCAGGAAGTCAGCAAATTTAACCATTGTTCATTGCCCATATAGGAGGACCAATAAAAACTCAGGGCGTGCAAGGTAATGTCCATTTTGAACAATTTAATTTCTTGAAAAATTGTTTGCGTTTTACGTGTGACTTTATATGTCAATGAAGCACACCCAAGGTCCTCTTCTGAATTGTTATTATTGATTACTTAAAACTGGCATAGAAGTATGAAAACCAAATCTTAAAAAGAAAGTGAACTTTTGGAGATTAAGCCTAAATTATCAATTTCGATTTACAGATTAGTTTCTATGTTAAAGTAATATTCCAAGGTTAGATACAAACCAAAATTAGGAAGGAGACATCAAGAAAAAGTTAGGTCATAATATGGAGGTAGTAGTTCTTTCTACAAAGAATCACTAAATGAACCTAGCAAACTTTTTCCCTGCCATGAAACTCCAGTGAGATTGACTACAGCTGAGGGTAGACGTCTATAAGATACATACAAGAATGGTGTTTAAATGATTATAGCTGCTTTTCTCACTCTTCCCTCTGAGAATATTTTAAATTATTTTATCTTCATGCACAATTACATTTACTACATTGGATGGTAAGCAGATATAGGCAATCATTTTCATGTAAATGGTATAGTTATACAAGGTATGAGTGACATTTGTGATACGACCCCTATGTCCAAAGAAATGCAAATGCAAATAGTCTTAGCATTTACATTGAAATATAAATCTGAAGGAGCTTAAAATAAACGAAGTTAAGTATGCTGCAAGAAGCAAAATGGTTTAGTTTAAATATTTTAAAGCTGTTAAGGACTAGCTATAAAAATATTAATCTTCAAAATTTCCATTTGACTTACATAAACATACCAACTGTCTTAATAACAACCTTAATTATTTTTAAGCAATCACTTAAAGGTTTATTTACAGTTTATCTAATTAAAGTTGATGAAAGTTTCAACTTATTTCTTTGACTATGGTCAGGGATGACTGGAAGCAGGTGGAATATGTGTATATGTATATGCATATATACGATGATTAATAGACAAATCAATTATTTTCTGTTAGTCTATGTTTATTTTATCTTAAGTATGCAGTCAGTTATTTTTAAATTATTAATAATGTATGTTATATGTATATGTGATGGTGTATAAAAGTTGGCTATGAAACTAATACAATCATGTTAGTTGACTAGATGTAATAAAAAACAAGAAAGGAAAAATAACATTTGCATTTTAAATATCATTGAAATTGTTTCAGAAGAATGGGATAAGCCTTTGAGAAAAAAATAATAGATGTTTGAGACTGTGATTTAGCAGACTTTGTAAAGTATAATTCTAGGGGTAATTTTTCAAACAAAAACAAGTCAGGTAATATGCGTGGCATTTGAATGCTTTTTCATTGTTATGCTAACTTCTACTGGTTCTGAATGTAACTGAGAAGGACATGTTCCTGTGTGTGTATTTGTGTGTGTGATTGAGGGCAATGAGAAGTATGTCTGAAGCAATCTACAAAAAGAGTCAAATATCACCTGGTTAATGCTAGTATATTATAGTCATTTGTCAAGTGACTGTTAGGCAATAAGACTAGAAAATAGGATATTGGCTGAAAGGAGAAATATTTTATTTGCTGTAACACTCTGATTTATATTAGCAGAAGGATTTGGTGACTAAGGAGATAACATTTAGCTGAATTGTTTGTATAATTAATACATTTTATTTTTATTGTATAGATGCAGTCTCATTGTTAACACAGAATATAGAATGTGAATTGTTTATTATGGAATGTGATCGGGCTTTGATATCAGTGTGATACACTAGGAATTACCCCTGATCTGTGTTATAAAATCAAGGTCAAAAGATCAGTTCTGCCACATTTTTGCTGTGCCCTAGATACCATTCTGATTCTCTGAACTTTTGTATCTTCATGATTAAAATTGAGTTAACCACTATGCTGTCTGTTTCAGAAGTTTTGAGATGATTAAGTGAAAGTAATGTGTAAACTATAAAGTACTATAAAAATGTAAATCTTTATTATGGAAAGGTATAAAATTATGTTAAAAAGATTGATTATATTTATTGTTATATGATAAAAGATAATTTTTTTTAGGGAAATATGCATTGAGGAAAAGTAAATGCACTCAGCAGTATCCTAAATTGGGAAAAAAATACTCAAAGAAGCAGTTGGTATAATTCATTGAAATCATTCAAAAACAGTCATAAAATCTTTAAACATTGTAGTCCATCTCAACCATATTCCAAGAATTAAGGCTATCAACATGGGCATGGGATTATAAATAAAGAACAAGCCTTTACTAATCAGGATGAAGACCTCATGGAAGTTAAGGCCATTAGATGATCCCAGCCTT